CTGCCGGGAGGGGCGGAGCTGGGCAGCCTCTGGCACCGGAGCCGCCGCAGTAGGTGACGCGCCTTACAGCCCCCGTCCCCTCCCCGCGGCACCGAAAGGGAGGAGACACCCCGGCGAGCGCCTCTCCCTGAGGTCGCGGCCACCAGAACTGGCCGCAAATGCTGTCCTGGCGCCGCATTGCACTACGGCTCCCTCCATCCCCACCCCAGCATGGCGTCACAGCGAGTAGCATTATGACATCATGGTGTCTTCCTATTGTCATGCCATGACGTCACAGGCACAACACTGGAATGTGGCGCAGCCTCGACGTTGTGGTCTAGCGCTGTGGTGCGGCAGCTAAACCTCATGGCAGGGCTTTGAGAGAGACAAGGTGGGTGAGGTAATAACTTTTAGTTGATCCATTTCCGGTGAGAATCAATGAGCTTTAGTGCTATGCCCAGCTCCTTTGGCCTGAAAGAAGAGCTCTTGGGGTGTTCCACAATTTGTCTCTCAGTTTCACTGCATGAAATTGGTTCAGTATAGGCGATTACTCTACCCATCTGATGGGGCTCTTATCCCAGTGTTTCTCAACCTTTAAGTACCCCCAGTACCTACAGTTTTCAGACACACATTTTTTTTCTACCATTGCAACACATTTGTTTAAACAATGTAATCATAGCTGGGCAGGTGATGAAATTTTTGGGTGTAAAAAGTACAAAAATAAAAATTCAAACAAAAATTCAGTTTTCTCCAAATTTCAGTTGTTGATGTACCTCCCCCCCCCCAGACTTCTCTCAAGTACCCCTAGGGGTACTCATGCCATTGGTTGAGAAACACTGTCTTATCCAGAGCCTACAACAGCACTGAAAATGACATAACATTATCCTCAAGTTGAATCTGCACCTATATGACATTACATTAATATTAATCAGTTGACCCAAAATGCAGGACAATGTAGCACTTTAAAGACTAACAAGATGGTTTATTAGATGATGAGCTTTCGTGGGCCAGACCCACTTCCTCAGATCAAATAGTGGAAGAAAGTAGTCACAACCATATATACCAAAGGATACAATTAAAAAAAATGAACAAATATGAAAAGGACAAATCACATTGCAGAACAGCAGGGGGATGCGGGGGGGGGAGGAGGAAGGAAGGTAAGTGTTGACCCACTTCTTCCACAGAGACAGCTCTGGCCCTCTCCTCCTTCCCAGAAGGTAAATGTAAAATGTTTGACTAGAATTAAGGATGTTAAGGGTTTGTTCGCGCTGACAGTATAATTTTGAAGCAATGTAAGGACAGACTGGTGTCCCAGTGAAGCCTGAATTATTCAGTGGGAACTAGGGATGAAAAATCCCATTTAATAAATTAACTGGTGTTACCAAAGGCTCAGTAACATACTAAATTTAGAATAATTGAAGCCATTTTAGAATCTGGTTGGATGTCCAATGTCCTTGCCCCAGAAGCAAGATCCGTCGGCTGAGCCCGTATCTAGTCACTGGTAAATTGGTAATGAACCACACAAGTCCATATAAGTAAACCAAATTCAATTGTATTGTAAATTTAGATATATAACAAATAATCATGAACCACGATAGTATCTGGTATATCCCAAATGCTTAGTATCTGGTATATCACCCTCACCCAAAGAAGAAAAGGAAGATAGAAAGAATTCCAAATGCAAGGTTGTGACGACGCGTCAGGGTTCCTCCGATCCTGCAACCCCGTAGGAGCAAGAATAGACTCCACCAGCCAGTAGAATAGAGAAGGTTTATTGCTTATCTGGGATACAGCACATCATAGACCTGATGTAATTTCAGGAGTGAGGGCCAGGATGCCTCAGACCCCTTGGATTAGGGGGTCCATTGTCACCCTTAAACCCTCAGGCCTCAGCTAAGGCTGTTCCCTTCATGGTTCCCCACCAGCAACTGACCCTTTCCCCAACACTCACTTTTTTTGTTCCATCCTTTCCCTTAACCGTGCCAGCAACTGCCCCTTCCCCAAAACCTGGTGTTTGTCCCCGCCTCCCTCCTATTGTCTCCCTCCCTACCCCCAACCGGTTGGACAGGTTGGGGTCTTTGCCTATGTGACTTAGGCAGCTGTCCTGCTGGGCAGCGCTACAGATACCAGCCAGTAGGAGTCACCCCCAGCCCAAACACAGCCACCAGTGGATGACCATGGCCTAGTGTATGGCTTGCCCACTACATCACAAAGGTAAGTTACTATTAATGATAGTCTGGCAGGACGAAGGCGAGGCCTAGGACGTTCAACCTTTAGAATCCAGAGAGTCCTCAGGGAGGATCACTATGTAACAATCTAGTAGCTGGATGAGGGTATACTGAAAAGTCAATATCTGGGCTTTCACCACAAAGAAGATAGTGTTCTTATTCTGTGAGGGTTCTGTGTACGTATGGCTGGGTCTTCACCACAGCAAGATCAGATCGCGATGGTACGGCAGCAGTGATGTAAATCTCGAGCTCTGTTTGATGTAACCCAGTATGCTGATGCCAAGCCTTCGCTATAGTTTGCGCAGGGAAGCACCACAGAGACCCAAAATCCACCACTGGAGATGATCAGGAGCCAGAGAAAAAACAGGAACCTGAATCTTATGTGGGATCCTATTTTATAAGTCTCTTAGGGGTATGTCTACACTACAAAGTTAGTTCGAACTAACGGACGTTAGTTAGAACTAACTTTAATAGGCGCTACACTAGCGCTCCGCTAGTTCGAATTTGAATCGAACTAGTGGAGCGCTTAGTTCGAACTAGGTAAACCTCATTTTACGAGGATTAAGCCTAGTTCGAACTAGCTAGTTCGAATTAAGGGGTGTGTAGCCCCTTAATTCGAACTAGTGGGAGGCTAGCCCTCCCCAGGTTTCCCTGGTGGCCACTCTGGCCAACACCAGGGAAACTCTATGCCCCCCTCCCGGCCCCGGACCCCTTAAAGGGGCACGGGCTGGCTACGGTGCCCGTGCCAGGTGCAAGCCTGCCAGCACCCAGCCAGCAGACCCTGCACCTGGCACG